GCGCACATACCTGGCACGTTTTTCAAGCCACTGTGGCTAGGATTCTAACTGAGCCAGCCAGGTGAGATTTTATTCCCTTGCACAGGAGACTATGCTTATCCATTGTACTACAGATCTGGACTCAAACCATGAAGAAAACAGCAACATGATACTTCAAACTAAATTAAAACTTGCCAAACAAGCAGTTAGAAATACAAAATACCTTGAATCAGAAATCTAGAAAATATTAAAAATTTTCTTCTTCCCTAAAGAATAAAAATTCAAACTGAAAAATAAAAACTCTAATATTTAAAACTAAAGTCCAAAAACCTTTCCAAAAATAAAAGAAGACGTGAACCTGTACATAGGAAATGCCCACTGGGACTAGTGCAAAATGACCAGGACAAACAACACTAAGCTGAAGGCTTTCTCAATAAAGAAAAAACGAAATCATCAGAACCGCCAGGCAAAAAGAGAAAACAACCTACAAAGGCAAGAAAATTAGCCCGGTGGCTAGTTCTTTGAAACACTATAGAAAAACTGAATTAACAATTAAGTCACATTTTTAACAAAATGAGAACAGAAAACTGAATTCACAATTAAGTGGCATTTTTAAACAAACTTAAAAAAGTGTGACCCAAAGGTATATCTATTCATCTTTCTAGTATTACAGCCACAGAAAAACAGAATTCAAGGGATTTAAATATATGTTTTTCTTAAAGTATCTATCAAAGGATCTTTATTTAACCAAAAGACTACTAAAAAATTTACTGAAGTACTGACACTGAGCATTTCATTCAACTGTGAAGAGTAAAACTAGGGTGAGTTGTGGGTTTAAAAGTACTTCCAATATCTTGCAGATAAAAATGTAAATCATTACAAATTACTAGCAAATTCCACATATAGGAAAAGAATGCAAAGCATTTAAACTGTTTTATATATCTATAATTTTCATTATATTGGTCATGTTATAGTTTCTAAAATGTGAAGTAGCTATTTATTGGAGAAAATCATTACAAAAAATTTCTAACAAAAAACAAAACAAGCACATTAAACTTAACGTGGTTACCTATGGAATTTAATGCAATAGGAGAAAATAGGGTTTTGATGGTAATACTTTCGGGTAGTCATCAAATAATTTAGAGCAAAAGAATTTTTTTTAAAGCTTGAGGAAAAGTTTATGATTCACATTTAAGCTACGCATTAGGTAGTTCAAAATAGAAAACAAAAAATATATTTTTATAATAGAGATGGAGAGTGGAATGATGGATATAAGAAGCTTAGAGAAGGAGGGAAAGAAGGGAAGATGAGAACTTGGTTAATAGATATAAAATTGCAGTTAGATAAGAAGAATGAGTATTAAAGTACTAGAGCATAACAGATTAACTATAGTTAAAACAATTTGTATTTCAAAACTTAGAAAAAAGGGACCTTGAATGTTCACAATACAAAGAAATGATAAATGTTTGAGATAATGGATATGCTTATTGTCCTGATTTGATCATTACACATTGTATGTATTTATTGAAAAGTCACACTGTTCCCTATAAATACAATTACATCAGTTAAAAATTATTTTAAAAACATATTTACAAAAGAATGTGATTTCATATGTATTTACTTAATCAGGTCGTCTCTCCTAGCCTACATTAAAATGACTCTATATTCACATATAAACCAAAACGGAAATTAGAGACCCTAAGTTGTAAAGATCACTGAAACCAAAATATCAGCCATAATAATGGTAATAAATTTAACATTTGTTGAGTATTACATACTTAAAATATAGCATAATATTAAGCATAATGTTTAGCATAATCTCATTTGATATGTAGAACAAGTTTATGAAGATACTTTTATTACTCCCATTTTATAGCTTAGGACATTGGCCACAGAAAATTACCTAACTTATACAAAATCACAGAAATAAAAGTGAGGCAGGATTGAAATTCGAATAGACTCATGGTTCACGGCTCTTACATAGATTTGCTATTTTGTATGCATATTTATAGTAAAAAATGTCACTTAACTATAGCAATTTACCAAGCATATATATTTTATAAACCATACCTTCATTGCTTACTTCATAATAAGTTTACTGTCCTTAAATTCATAAAATAATTGATTATTAAGAGAGAGTCCAGTCTTTTAGATAAAATTTCAAGCTATTATAAAAGGCATGAAAAGATTAAATTATTTTTCCAGCCAACCTATAGCCATTACCATTCTGTTCCTAGACCTGCGGCCGGCTCTACCTCTCAATTAAACTTTATGTTCCAGTTATACTGAAAAACTGGCAGCTTCATGATGAGGCAGATGTGGCCTTTGCTCACTTCTAAGTCCATCCACATGCTTTCATTCTGCAGGGCAACTCTTTTTCCCTCAATTTGACCTGAAATTACTTTCTTTACCAACCTACAAAGACCACTTTAGGTACGGCCTCTCTAGGGAAGCCTTAGTAAGCACCCATCAGCCTGACTGACTTATACTTCTTCTGTATTTACTTCTTTCACAGAACTTACACTGTAGTATAATGGCCTATTTTTACCTATGCCCTTAAGGGTAACACCACAATTTCTAGCAGTCATAATTTTTAAAATGTTCATTGACAGAAGAAAAACAAAAAGTCTGATGGAGTTACTTGAAAAAAAAAATTGGGGCTGGCCCTGTAGCACTGTGGTTAAGTACTGTGCATAGGGAGCCAGATCCCACATGACCAATGGCAATGAAAACCTGTTCCAGTGCTTAGAAAAACATGGCAGGTTCATGTTTGTGCCCCAAATCCCAACAGGGTGAAGAAATAGAGAACGAGACTCCAGCATGACCATGCCCCAATTGGGAGGCTGGGGATTGCTCACTCACTCTCTGGTAAGCACAAGCACTCTCTGGCAATTAAGTAACTCACTAATTAACAGTAATGTACATTTATAGATTTGATTCCAACTGGTTATACATCACTCTGTGATTAAAAATCATGGTCCTGGGACCAGCAGTTAGCATAATGGCTATGTCGCTGGACTCCCATGTAGTCAACTGTGATTCAAGTCCCAGACCGGTGGCTTAAACTCATGAAAGGCGCGTGTGCATGCGTGTCCAAGATCCCGAGAAGAGAATGAAGGAGAAGGGACTGTGGTGTGGCCATTCCCCCTGGGGGGTGATTTCTTGCTTTCTGCCTCTCTGTCTCTCTCTGTCTGTCTGGCAAGGGCATGTGCCCTATAGCAAAAACCTCTCTAAAAATAATAATAATAATAATCAGTCCCTAGACTAGAAGATGGCATGGAGGTTAAGGCAGCTAAGTCCCACATGGGATTGAGCCCGAGACCCAGCCACTTGAAAATCATGCCAGGCGTGTGTATGCATGCCCAAAGTCCCAAGAGAAAAATGGAGAAGGGATTGTGGCATGGACATCCACCCTGGTGGGTGATTTCTCACTTTTTCTCTCTCTCCCATGGGTGCTTGTGCCCTGTAACAAAACTAAAATAAGTACAAAATCATGGTCTCAGCAGCTTGAAAAACATGCAGGGTGCATCTGTGTGTGAGCCCCAAATCTCAACACAGTGGAGAAATGGAGAAGGGATTGTGGTAATACCATGTCCCATTAGGGGATGCTTTCTCCTCTCTCTGGTGAATGTACATGCCCTCTGGTAAGAGTCAAGGGGGGTGGGGAGGGGAGAAGGAATAAACTGAGTAAACTAGTGAGACGGGTAATAAAGGTTTGTCACTGATATCATAAAAAAAGCCCTAAGCTATACCACTGGCCATCGACCCATGGATCTCATATCACTAACACATCTTTGCTATTTTTTTCCTTCTTTGATGTTACCGTCAAAGATTAAAATTTATGCCCTAACATCCTAATTTACTATGATCGCTTTCTCTTTTATAAAGAATTTGCTATAAGGCACGCGAACTTGCTAGAGAGAAAGAGAGGGACAGAGAGAGAGAGAAAGAGAGAGTCAGAAAGTGAAAAACTACCACCCAAAGAAGGTGAAGAAGTTCCTTCTTCATTCTCTTCTCAGGATTCTGGGCACACACACACACACGTACCCACTGTGTTTTTCAAGCCACCATGTCTGACACTTGATCTACCCAGTCAGCCATGTGAGATTCAACCATCTTAACTACCATGATACCTGGCTGACCCCAATGTAACTGTTCTTTTATTCATGACTACAGCTAAATGAAATCTACCCTCTTCAGGCTGGACAACCTTCTGAAGTGAGAGTATTGGACTCCTCTGCTAATTTAGTAACACTTTCTTGTTTGTTTTGTTTATTAGTTTATTTTTATTTCTCTGGATTTAAGGGCTGTCCTTTTTCTATCCTAAGAACTGAAAAATAAGCCCATGTTTACCTTATTCATATAATGACTATGCCTACATAAATAGCTATTTTACAAAATAGGAAGAATAAGTTAATTTTCTTCTGATTTGTACAGGAATAAAATGTTTTGAATAAGATGAAGAACTACATTCTAACCTATCCAGCATTAAGTAACCAAGCAAAGGACACTACCTGCATAATAAAAAATTAAAAGACCAAGATAAGTTTAAAAGATGTGAATCAGAATTTTTAATTCTTCTTTTAAAAATCGAATAGTAAAAAGAAAAGATACAAAAAGAGAAAGATAAAGCCATAACATAATGCTTTACCAGTCCTTTCCATTGATAATTTAGACAAGATTAAAGAATACTATAAAAGTTTACAATTCATTTTAAACCCGGACACCTGCTTTTCCTAAAAGTCATGCAAAATTCTAAAGGAAAAAAATAAAAACAAAAAGACCAAGCTATTTTTAGACACATTAAAAAAAAAAATTTAAGAAGTTTAACAAGATGATCTCATAATAAAAACTTTATAAAGTCTTAAATTAAAATAAGACTTTTTAAGTAAATCACCACTCCTTACGTATATAAAACATGTCTCTCTTTCAAAGATCTGATAGTACAGTATATCACAGGTTTTCACAAAACTGGGTCACTAACCTGTATTTTTTCATAATAAATTTGTAGTTATATTTACCTTCGGATCCCATGATGAAGTGATAGATATCAGGGCCTGTTGACATACGAGGTCCTTGACAGCTTTTTTCTATTATACCTCTAGGTGTTACCATTTTTATATGAACCACCTGTTTAATACAATACATGATATAAATTCTACACATCTGTAAGTGAATCTAGTGTGTGTGTATGCACACATATTTATATATACTTGTATAAAATACTACTTTAATAATATGAGGTTAGGTGATAAATGCTGATGTCTTTCACAACTCTAGTATTTTTTAATAAACCTTAGACTAAAAGCATCACTTTAAAAGAGGGAAAAACCATCCTAAGATTATACACTTCTTGATTTAAATTGGTTTAGGTATAGTCATAATCTTAGGAATGGAAAAGCACTTTTCTTGAAACCAAATTTAGTCTATGGTTGTCCATGTGACAAAGAACTAAAAAGCTCAAAGAATAAGTAGTAATCAAAACTTAACAAATTCATTCTTTCATTTATTTAGCAGTATTTATGAGACATTATTAGTCATAACAGGCACTGCTCCAGATGCTAAAAAAAAGCATTGCTTTATCCCCACACCTCCAAACTCAAATTCACTTTGTCCAAAAAAAAAGAAATGTTAATCATTCTCAGGTCAAAGTTAGGATGAAGAAGCAGAGCAGAGACTGAATTAGATGGAAATAGATGGATGCAACAGATATATTACACAGGTGAAAGTAAGTATAGTAGGAAAGAAAGATCACACTAGTTCTCAGGAACAGCACATGGCACGGTATCTGTGGTACTGGATTCCCACATGGCCAACTACAATTCGAGGCCCAGACCTGGTGGCTTGAATCTCATGCTGTGTGTGGTGCATGCATGCCCAAAATCCCAAGAGGAGAATGAAGAGGAAGGGATTTTGGTGTGGTCTTCCCATCCGGGGAGGAGGTTTCTTACTTTCTCTCTTATCTCTCTGTCTCCGGTGCATGTGCATGTGGCCTATAGCAAAAATACCTCTTAAAAAAAAAAAAAAGTTTCGAGACCAGCAGTTAGTGAAATGGTTATGTCGCTGGATTCCCATGTAGTCGACCAAGGTTCGCATCTCGGACCTGGTGGCTTAAAACTCACGCTGGGCGTGCATGCGTGCGTGCCCAAGATCCCGAGAGGAGAATGGAGGAGAAGAGATTGAGGCGTGGCCATCTCCCCTGGAAGGTGATTTCTCGCTTTCTATCTGTCTCTCTCTGTCTGGCTGATGAGCGCATGCGCCCTATAGCAAAAACAAAACAAACAGGGAACCAGCAGTTAGCGTAATGGCTATGTTGCTGGATTCCCACGTAGTCGACCGCGGTTCGCGTACCGGACCCGGTGGCTTAAAACTCACACCGGGCGCGTGTGCGTGCGTGCCCAAGATCCCAAGAGGAGAATGGAGGAGAAGGGATTGCGGCATGACCATCCCCCCTGGGGGGTGATTTCTCGCTTTCTGTCTCTATGTCTCTGTCTGTCTGGCGAGCGCACGCGCCCTATAGCAAAAATCTCTCCAAAAAAAAAAAAAAACGAAACAAACAAACAAAAAAAACTCTCAAAAAAAAAAATTTCCAAGATATGAATCAGAAACAAGTAAAAATCCAACACATTCTTAGAATGGATTTTTGACAGATAAATAACAATAGTCTATTTATTACTGAAGGAAATGAGCAGAGGATGTCAATAAGCAATTCATAAAATAAAAACTGCTAATGAGAACATTTTAGAAGGCTACATTAGCTAATGGTTAAAGAAATGCAGAATTAAAGACAAAAAGTGTAACTAAAAGGTCCAGTAAAATTCAAAAATTCTCACAGTGCTAGTGGAGATGTCAACTGGCACAAAATTTTTCTGAGGCAATTTGGGTATAAGAATTCAAAGACTTTAAAATGTATAAATTTCTTAATACTACAATTCAACCCTCTCTGTTCCCCCCAAAAGATTTAAGATTTATGCCAAAGAAATTATGATGATATTTTTCTCTTTGTATTCTGTAATTTTGAAATTAAGAATAATTTAGGAACCAGCAGTTAGCATAATGGCTATGTCACTGGATTCCCATGTAGCCAACTGTGGTTCGAGTCCCAGACCCGGTGGGTTAAACTCACACCGGGCGCGTGTGCATGCCTGCCCAAGGTCCCGAGAAGAGAATGGAGGAGAAGGGATTATGGCGTGGCCATCCCCCCAGGGAGTGATTTCTCACTTTCTCTCTGTCTCTCTCTTTCTGGTGAGCACATGCGCCCTATAGCAAAAACCTCTCCAAAAAAAAAAGAATTTAAATGATCATTAAGAGGGAGCTTAATAAACCATGAATTATCAATAAAAGAATTATATGTACTCTAGAAATTACAATGAAAACCCATATTCAGTTATGTGTTAATATGTTAATAATATTTCAAGAGCAGATTAAGCAAAGTATGATCCTCCTTCATATTAAAAACTAGATATACACATGTGTTTGTGGTATGCCTAGAAAAGATTCTAGAAGGATAAATACAAAAATGTGAAGTGTTAAAAATGATTACATATACTTAATATATACATGACACATTTTTTTACATTTCTGTAATGAGCCTGTAGTACTTTTAAAATAAATAATAAATTTTCTGATTGCTTAAATTATCAATGTAATATTTATCATCTTAAAAGCAGCATTCTCTTCAGAAAAAAATTTAAACTTAATGTTTACCATATCATAATTTCCTTTTGAATTCAGAATTTTCAGTTTGATTTTGTCACTATAGATTTCAGTTTTTTCCTCTAACGGTGCTTCATAACTGAAAAATACTGTTAATGGCCATGAGCTTTAGTCAAGTAGCACCAACAAAAAAAAGTGTAATCACAAATTGCTTTGGTAAAAAGATAGTTACTAAATTAAGAAATATTTGAGTTGGAATATACTGGGTAATTGAAAAGTGATAATGTATTTTTCTGTTTTTCTATTAAAAAATGTGTCAAGACTTTCCAACAAACCAATAGTTGGAATTCCTTGAAGTGACACTGAAAGTAGGGATCAGAATTTAAGATGAAAAGTTATCTCCTTGTTCATTGAAAGCGCTTAAGATTTCTGAATCTTCAGATTATGTTAAAAGTTTAGACTAAACAGGGACCAGCAGTTGGTGTAATGGCTATGTCTCTGGGCTTCCATGTAGTTGACCACAGTTCGAATCCTGGACACGGTGGCTTAAACTCACACCAGGCACATGTGCATGAGTGCCCAAGATCCCGAGAGGAGAATGGAGGAGAAGAGATTGTGGCGTGGCCATCCCCCCTGGGGGGGAGATTTCTCGCTTTCTGTCTCTCTGTCTCTCTCTGTCTTTCTGGCGAGTGCACGCACCCTATAGCAAAAACCTCTCCAAAAGAGAAAAAGTTTAGACTAAACAACTATCTTCCACTTTTTAAAAAACAATTAAGTAGGGTATTAGTATCATTACTTATTGTACTCTAGACATTTATTACTACTGATTAAAGAAATATAGTAACATGTTCAAAAAGTTTACTTTTTAAAGTGAGCTCCCCTACAGATACACAGATGTAAAAAAATAACTATTCTGGTGGACAGCAAGTGACATAGTGTTTACGAAGCTGGATTCCCACACTGTATCTGGTATTTATAACCATTTACTATGTTTCTATATCCAAGAGGGCAGATAAAGGAGCAGAGTCTGAGAAAGGACGCTGAGGAGAAAAATAGAGAGGTAAGGCATTTGTGAGACAAAGAAATGGGCTATTATTTGTTGAAGATAACAGGTATAGTATTCAACTGTACTGGAGAAAAATGTATCCATATTGGAATATTCACTTTGCAAGCTAAGTAACATGTGATAGAATGTATAAAAAAAAAAAAAAAAAAAACCTAGACCCCAATATGGCTGACCACGGTTCAAATCCTGGACCCAGTGGCTTGAAAACCACACTGGGCACATATGTGTGCATGCCCCAAATCCTGAGAGGAGAACAGAAGAGATGGGACTATGGTGAGGCCATCCCTTCTGAGCTGTGTGTTTTCTCACTTTCCCTCTGTCTGTCTGTCTGTCTCTCTCCAGTGAGTGCATACACCCAAGGCAAAACAAAAACAAAAACAAATTTTTAAATAGCAACTTTAGTAAAGTTTTCATAAAAGCAAATAATGTGAATTAAGATAGTTTCAAAAGGTACTATGTATTCCAAAGAAATTTAAGTTAAATATAAAATTTACTAGGTAATTGATGCAGAGGTACATTTGAAAATACACCTACATTTATGAACTTTAATTAAATATCTCAAAAAAAGATTAAAATAAATTACATGCTTTATGAATACTATTGATAGATATACTATCACATATTTGCCTATCAAATACTTATCTAACTGATAAAGTAGTTTGTATAGAAAATTTTTTTCAGAAAAATAAAATCTCCTAAGAGAGCAGAGTAGCAATGAGACTAAATAAATGTTTAAAAATCTTGATAGAGTTGAAGACTCAGTTTTCCTCAACGTTTGTAAAATAATACTTACATGTTTTATGTTAGATACTGTGAAATATCTACAAAGCTTAAGTATTAGTCACTTGAAAAGGGGAATTCTTAAGTAATGACCACAGTTGTATATTTTAATTGCTTCTTCCGCATATGCTACCATAATCAGAAAGGGTTATAATTTGGGGGGGACTCACCATTCGATTCTTAATTTTTAAAGACTTTTAATCACTTAATAATAATCTCTATATATTAATCAATTCTTACAACTAGAAAAAATATTTACCAGGTCCTCAATATTGCCATAGATATTCTTCTTCATGCCTGATGCCCGAGTAGATAACCATCCCCCGACAGTGCTGAACTCCAGGGAATCTGGCTCATGACCTGTACAATAACCACTTTCTTTAAGCTGAAAAACAAAAACATAACATTTTACAAGTGAAAACAGTCCCATTTCACAAAGCAGGCAACATATAAACTCCTATTTTAAAGTTTCCACGTGTCATAAATATTTGTATTCATTAAAACCTATATGAGAATATAAACACTTTTATCATACTAGTCCTAAAAACATTTTTTTAAGCTTTTGCCCAATGAAAAAATTTACAAAACTGAAAAATATGGGACAAAAGACAGGTTCAACAGTCAATCTTAAGCCTTACATCCTTCTTTTAAAATTTTATTTCAAGTTCTTTTATACATTCAATCATGTTATTTAGCTTGCAAAGTGAATATTCCAACATGTGTACATTTCTCCCTAGTCCAGTTGATAATACTATAAAGTTATCTTCAACAAATAATACCCCATTTATTTGTCCCATTAATGCTTTGCCTCTCTATTTTTCTCCTTAATGTCCTTACTCAGACTCTATTCCTTCACCTGCCTTCTTCCCACACTGTATCTGGTATTCACAACCATTTACTTAGTTTCTATAACCTTTAGTCATTCAGTTTCAGCCACAGAGGGCAGACACTTGGTATATATTAAGTAGAGACATACAATGATGCTCCTTCATCATCTGGCTTGCTTCACTCAGCAGTAAATCTTCCATGTTTATCCACTTTCTGTCAAAAGCCAGGGTCTTGTTGTTTTTTATGGCTGAGTAGTATTCCACAGAGTATATGTGCCACAGTTTTTCAATTCAATTGTCTGTGGGCATTTGGGTTGGTTCCATGTCATAGCAATTGTGAATAATGTCACAATAAACATCGATGTACAAGCACTTTTCTGATTAAGAATTCTTCTGTCCTTTGGGTAGATACCATAGATACCAAGAAGTGGGATTACTGGATCATATGGTAGTTCTATTTGTAGGTCTTTTTTTTTTTTTTTTTTGACAAAGAGAAATTTTAAATACTTATGAAGATCTGATTATGCTTAAATAACTGCCAACTTCACCTAAACACTTTCAATAAATAAAGCACTTAATCTCTTGTTCTTTCTACCCTAATATAATATGCAGCAGGCCTGCAGAAAATCCAAGCAAATTGCCTGTACTTAATTCTCTCAAGGAGTCATGTGTTTTAATGTACAGCCATCTGGCTAGGTTTTCTGCATGTAATATCGTCATTTATTTGTGATGCAGATCATGCATTCCTGTACATTAAATAGTCACTTGTTTCTCATTTTTCTATATTAGCTTGGCTTTGCCATCTGCACAGCACCTGAGTTTGAATGGATGCCCTTTACTGCAACAACACCAAAGCCATTCCACTGAAATCACTTTAAAGACTCAGCCATCTCCTGTCAAACAGTAACAGACACTACCATCTGCATATCCACTGTCTACTGCACCCGAGCCCATCAATCTGTGTTGACCATTTTGATAGTCATCCAGTTTAGCAACTGCTTTTATTTTTCAAGCAAGCCATGCAAAAATGTAGAATATGTCAGCTACGTATGTATTTGTGTACTTAAGTATGGTATGAAATTTGTAATCTGAAATTTGAAAGCCTATTTAGTTCAATATAATTAGTTAGGTTTTTGCATTCCGGCAATACAAACTATTTATCTTTTCTAACTTTGCTGACAGGAAAATAAGATTTGAAAACAACATCAATTGTTTCACAGGATTTTTTTTCACTATATTTATTTAAGAGGTTAATAATCACTCACAAATAAGTAGCTTAAATACATGACTGAATAGATTATAATTTTTCTCTTAAAAGACAAATGTTGCTCTTTTGTTTTTTTTTTAAGAGAGGTTTTCTGCTATAGGACGCATGCACTTGCTGAAGACACAAAGAGAGACAAAAAGAGAGAAATCGCATCCGAGAGGGATGGCTACACTGCAATCCCTTCTCCTCTATTCTCCTTTTAGAATTTTGGGCATGTATACACACATGCCTAGCACAAGTTTCAAGTCATTGGGTCTGGCCATGTGGGAATCCAGGTCGTCGGCCATGTGGGGATCTAGTGCCACAAGCACTATGCCATCCACTGGCCCCCAGTGTTACTCAATTTTATGAAACTACAGGAAAACAAGAAATTCATGGAGCCTTAAGACATGCCAAGCACTAAACAGGAAGATTTTACATATTTTCATGACAAAACTGAACCTCCACATAATTACTCAGAAGCAGATCATTTAATATACTTAAACGATTTCTATCATTATGTCCAATATTAGATCTACTATTAATATGTCTCATGTCTGGTAAGCTACTTCATTATTTCTGCAGTTACAAGTAGGTAGCAGCTACTATGTGCCACCAACTGTATAAAGTAATGAAGATAATGTTTTTTTTTAAAAAAATAATAATCTCTATATTGAGGGAGCTCTACCTAGCACACCAATTTAAATCTTGTAACAAGAGCTCAGTAATTTTGTACTATTATAGGTAAGTAAAGTAAATAAATGGTTGAAAATCTGGATTTGAGACTGTCATTTACCCTAACTAGAAAATTTACATTCTATAGTGTATCAGTTTAATAAGAAATAAATGTTAGAACACAGTAAATGTTTAATAAATGCTTTCTAAGACCACATACATTCAGCTATTTCTTCCTTTAAAAGTCTGTCTGTTGATTCCAACAAGTTGCTAAGAAAAATCTCAATTGCATAACCAAATACTCTTTTTTAATAAAATACAACAACCTCTCTACTCCATGCTACACTAGATTAAAAAACAAACAAACAACAACAACAAAAAACACAATGCTAAGTTTATCAATCACTTACTACATACACAAAGTTCTAGGAGGACAGGAACTTTATCTTACTTGTTCCTATGTTACAATTAAATACTGAAACAACAAATATTTACTGACTATGTGCTGAGCTTCAGTCATATTAAAAAAACAAATCCTAGATCTGGCCCTAGTAGCCTGGTGGTTAAGAGAGTAGAAAGCCCTCCTCCTCACACCAAATGCAGTTCAAGTCCCTACCCTGGCAATTTAGAAAACATGTCAGACATTTGTGTGTAAATGCCCAAAATCTCAACAAGGACTGGAGGAGAAATAGGAGAGAATGGTTTGCAGTGTGACCTCACCCCATGGGGGATGCTCCCTCTTTGCCTCTCTCTGGTGAGCACACAGACCCTCTGGCAATAAAGAAAGAAAGAAAGAAAGAGAGAAAGAGAGAAAGAGAGAAAGAGAGAAAGAGAGAAAGAGAGAGAGAGAGAAAGAGAGAGAGAGAGAAAGAGAGAAAGAAAGAGAGAAAGAGAGAGAGAGAGAAAGAGAGAAAGAGAGAGAGAGAAAGAGAGAGAGAAAGAGAGAAAGAGAGAGAAAGGGAAGGGAAGGGAAGGGAAGGGAAGGGAAGGGAAGGGAAGGGAAGGGAAGGGAAGGAGTTCTAGTCAGCACAATCAGGTAAGCAAAAGAAATAAAAGATGTCCAGATTAGAAAGGAGGAAAATGAAATTGTCTTAATTCTCAACAAGATCAGGTATATAATTATATATCATTTTATACACACAAATACACACATATGCACACACACACACACACACACACACACGAATGAATGAATGACGAACCTGTGCATAGAAAATCACAAAACACCACTGATAAAAATCACAGAATGAGAAAGGGCAGAGGGTCAAACATGGGGTAAAAAGCATATATATACATATACATATATATGAAAGTAGAAATGGAATATTATTGATGATAACATGATTAAGCCACTATGCAGTTTATTCTAGATGGGAAACCACATTTAGTATGTTGTGGTGATGCTCAGGGAATGAATGTTAAGTAATTTTAAAAAAAAAAGTTGCAGGAGAAAAAAAAAAAGACAGTAAAACTGTTCGTATCGAAATTTAAAAAAAATGCATATTTGATGACTGCAGTAAGCTATATAGCCCCAGCTAGGTGCTACTTTATAGTATGTTCATTCTACTCACTAAGGTTTATGCCTAAAGTCAGACTTGGGTTCATGCATAGGTATATATCAGCTGTGCTAGCTACTGGATATGTTTAGACTAATTAAGTTCATTAGCAAATCAATTAAATGGGGGGGAAAGGCATAGAAAGCAACCATGAATACCAGAGACAATGTGGGAGGAGGGTGGGACATGGCAGAGTGACGGATAGGGAATCAAGGATGGCAAAAAAAAGTATACAAGACATAAGAATTGGAAAATTATTTGCTGATAACATGTATGTTGATGTGCTTGATTGAGCCAATATACAGTGTATTGTGGATGGAAAATTCATTGGTATGCTGTAATGATGTATAGTGAATTAATGTAAAAAATAAATACATTTAAAGAGGAAAAAAAACACACACAAAAAAAATAAAATAAATAAAATTCAAAAAAGAAAAAAATCACAGCACCATAAATAAATAAATAAATAAATAAAATAAGCTATACCACATTCATGGGTCAGGTTAGAAGATCAATACTGTTGAAATACTGTTGAAATTACAGTTGTCCCCAAACAAATAATATGGAACTGACATAATCCTTATTTTATTTTATTTTTTTAGAGAGATTTTTTTTGCTATAGGGAGTATACATTTGCTGGAGAGACAGAGAGATGGAAAGCAAGAAATCACCCCCTAGGGGTGATGGCCACACCACGACTCTCCATTCTCCTCTCGGAATTTTGGGCACACACACACATGTGTGAGTTTCAAGTGGCCTGGTCCAGGACTCAAACAGCAGTCAGCCATGTGAGAGTCCAGCTATGTAACAATCCCACAGTCTGCCGGTCCTAATAATTAATACACTCATAATCAAAATCCCAACTGCCTGTTTTTTTCCCCTTAACGGAAGTTAACAACATCCACATTTAAGTGAATAAAACCTAAAAGAGCTAAAACAGCTTTGAAAAAGAACATATGATAAAGCTGCAGTAATCTGAAAAATATGATATTGGCATAAAGATACACACAGGTCAAGGGAACAAAGTTCACAAGTAGATGTACATATATGAGGAGACCTCAATACAATCAAAGAAAATGGA